TTGCGATTAGAAACTTACGCGTGCTCTCTCGCGTAGTTTCACGGTGGGTCCCTTTCTTGGCTCTCTCCCTTGACGTGACGTGACACAACGCAAAGGATGGTTATTTACGGAAGAAATATATCGACCTGACGCGTCCTGACGCGTCCTCCTCTCCCTTTAGTTTAATTAGGCGATAATCGCCCGAGTTAATGAGCTCTTCTTTGGGTCAGGTATGATATAACCGCGGGAAATGCGTTCTAAGAAGCCTGGAAGAGATAAGTGATTTTAAAGGAAAAAACGAAGGGACTCTTAAAGGGATGCTGACCATGTCCGTTTTACCGACTTTGAATTCAAGGACTTTTCTTTTTATTGGCTATATATGTAGAGTGAAAAATCCTTCTTCACAATTAAAGTACTGATAATAATAAACGGAGAGCGCTGTAATTTTGTATAAAAAAGCAATAAAAATTAAACAATTAGTTTTTTATCAGTTTCTTGCGTCAGCTCATAACAATAGTATATTGTGTATCAAGTGCGGAAAGTTGACAATTGTCAATCCGCACGTGATACACATACTATTTTGTATTACAAGTGCAGGCAAAGTGGCTTTGTGCGCGAGGTGGCCGATCGCACGCCGCCATCTTGCGGCAACACGGTGCGGGAATAGCCGTGTTCAAAGTTATTGTCCACGGCTGAAGCCGTGGGCAATGACTTTGAACGCGGCTTAGTCGTAGGCAATGGCTTTGAACGCGGCTTATTTACTCACCGCGTCGCCGCTAGATGGCGGCGTGGGAAATCGGCTGCTTTCCGCACAGAAAATACGCACACAAAGTGCCACTTTGCCTGCACGTGTAATACAATAGTTATTTAATATAAAAGTTCTGCAGTTTATTTGTGCACAAAATATGGCGCTCTCAATAGAGATGACATGAAAGATTAATACAGAAGAATAATACTTTCATTGTGAAGGATTTTTCAATCTGTATATTCAATAAAAAGTGAACCTAACCTAACTTAAAGTCGATAAAACAGAACTACGGCAGCATTCCCTTAAAGACTCTCCCTAGAATTAATATAATACCGCAAGTATTTTCTTTTTAATTTTTTTAATCTTGGAGCTCTCTAAATAATAAAATTTAAATCTGAAGGAATATCAAGTAATAATATCGAGACAAGAAATAATTTTGCTGCTGGAGATTAGGATGATATATGACTTACACGAAGGAGAATATACATGTTGCAACGAAAAAAAAATATATATATAACTCGACAGAGTAATTTACATATAGATGTTGCGAGAAACTTTTTTGCGAGAGACAATGATCTTCGCTGATAATTTATACAAGTCATTAATTTTAAAACTATTTTAAGTCGCGTATCGATCTTGACTGATAATTTATATGCGAATCCGTTCATTTAAAGAAATGCTTATGTTTCGAACGAGTACATATATATATACAGGATGATTCTAAATATTGTAAATGCAAAAAATTTAGGAGCTGATTCTTTGTCCAAAATTCAAAAGAAAAATGAATATAAGGTTTTTATTTTTTTTCTCAAAGTTTGGACAAGTTAAAAAATGATATTTGGACATTTTTTTATAAAAGAATGCTTATTAATATTTTTTAATCCTCCCATATCGTTGTATAGGGATGAAACTAGCAGCCCCTATTAAATTTTTTATTAAAGCTTTTTAACAGGTCTGAATGTGTCATTTAAAAATATGCAACAGAAAGTTTGATTTCTTTAGAAACTTTTTTACTTCCTATTATCTTTTTCGTAAAATCAGTAGTTTGTAAGAAAAATTAAAATATGTTATCACGTACAGAAGATGGTATAGATTTGGAATTATGAGAATTTGAATTTTAGAATAAAAAAGCAAGCAAGATAAAATTATAAAAAAAAATAGAACAAACATCACAAACTTAATTTTCACATCCTCCTTTGAAAGAGTGTAATTCTTCAGAGAGAAATATAGAAGTATTATATCACAATTTTCAGCAAGAAATAATAAAAATATCGCACTTATTTAGAATCACCCTGTACATATACCGTGCACGAATATATTCGCGCTCATTACTTGTTTATTATGTTCGCAAAATTGATTTACGACTTTTCGCGTGACAAACGGCAGCCAACGCGCATATTGTTCGCCCAATATCGCCGAACACAATACCGTCCATTATAAAGTAACAAAACTGCGGCTGCGGGCGAAAGACAGAGAGAAAAAAGGAACGTCAGAGAGATCCGCGACTGGTATAATCTAGCTCCGGCAGAAAACAGAAATTCCATTACGGCGCGTTAAAAAGGCGAACGATGCGATCGCGTGCATAAAGAAGGGGGCTCAGGAGACTCCGGTAAACCGCGGAGAAAAACCGCGACGCGACTGCGAGGCTCCGGTCTCTCTCTCTCTCTCTCTCTCCGGAGCGAATAAAGGCAGCGGGACCAGACACACCGGGGCACACAGGCCGCTTCAGGGATAAAGGAGTTTAGAGGTCGATCCTCCGCGCAGGATCCGCGGCGAAATCGGCGCTCGAGGAACGGCCGTGAACCATTTTCGCCCTATGAAAGACAGAGAAAGAGCGAGAGAAAAAAGGGGGCACAGGGGGGCACGTGGGGGGCACGGCACAGACAAAATAAAAACGCGATGTAGCCGCTCCACGGAGAGTAGAAGGAGAGAAGAAGGAGGGTGAGAGACGAAAACGAGGGGGCGAGAGGGGGGCAAGAGGGGGGCAAGCGGCCAACTTCTCTCACTCGGTTTGGGGGGGCCTAGAGACGCGTGATTCTCATCTCGCGCCGGTCCACGAAACTCGTACCCTCTCTTCTCCATCTTCCTCTTCTCTCGATCGGCATACTCTCCTGCCCCCCTTAAAAGGGGGGCAACACCCTTTCTTTTTCCTCTGCTCTCTTCTCTTCTTCTCTTTCTTCTCCGTTCCGTCTATGTTCTCCATATCCTCCGTCGCTTCTCCTTCTTATACCTTCTGATCGAAAAAAATTGAGGGGGCACCAGCGAGCCCCCCTTGTTCGGGGCCCCGGTCCGCGATTTATTAGACGAGCTAATTAATAGGCCGCCTCGACGTATCTCCCGCGCTCTTCTAGCGCGTGTTCGCAGAAATCGAATCGCGGACGATTGCGATTTATTGCCGCGCCGGGGAGATTCACCATTCCGTTTCGTGCGGTTTCGCCGACCTCGGGTCTTCACCGCCTTCACTCGCTTTCGGCGCGACTCTGCTTTCAGGAAAGCGGCGACTTTCTGCGACGTTCCCGAGCGAAGCTTTTTAAAACTCTCCGTTCCCCTGGATCACCGTTTTGCATCAAGTATATGTTCAGGGTTTGCTGTTAACTAAATAAAATTGTCTAGATGATCATCTAGATGAAACTTTGACGTCATCTTATCTTTGTATAGATAATAAAAATATGTATTATTCATATCTGCATCTTAGATGAAAATAGTATTATCTTCATTAAATTATCTAGAATAATTTTCAGATAATTTTGATTTAGAATCGTAGCACATAATAGTATATTGTGTATCAAGTGCGGAAAGTTGACAATTGATCACGAGTGAACAAAGTGGCTTTGTGCGCGAAGTGGCCGATCGCACGCCGCCATCTTGCGGCGACACGGTGCGAGAATAGCCGTGTTCAAAGTCATTGTCCACGGCTGAAGCCATGGGCAAAGCATTGTTTATGGCTTCAGCCGTGGGCAATGACTTTGAACGCGGCTCAGCCGTAGGCAATGACTTTGAATGCGGCTTATTCACTCACCGCGTCGCCGCTAGATGGCGGCGTGGGAAATTGGCCGTTTTTCGCACAAAAAAAAACGCACACAAAGTGCCACTTTGCCTGCACGTGTAATACAAAAATACTTAAATTGTAGAACTTAAGCAGTAAGCGATACAAATTTTTAAATAAGATTAAACAGAAATTAAAAATAATGTCCTACATATAATAAAATTCAATATTTGCTCCTAATAAATTTGTATGATAAACATTTTTTTTTGCACATTTAATAATTTATCTCGCGAAGCAATAAGTAATAAAAAACTCTAAACATTTATCTCGGTGAATAGCAGATAAATATACAACATTTTATCACAATGTGTTATGTCAGTTTTTTAGAATTCTTATTTGAAATGAATCCCGAGAAGAATAATAAATCTACCGGTTTTTGCGAATTATCATGCTGATCGAGTCGTTAATCCGACACTCGGGCTATCCATCAAAATTCGTTCTCACGCTTTAAGTTTATTGAAAAAATTCTCAATTCAAGGAATTATGGCAATTATCATGAGCCTATTAATTTATTCTGATATACTCGTGCGACCTTTATTTCTATAGATTATTCGATTAAAATTTAAAATTAAACAAATTTACATCGAAATTTAATTCGGAAACCATTTTTAAAATATTTATTTGTTTGTTTGCTCAAAAGATAAATTTATTATTAAATTTATGTATAAATAAAATAAAATTATATAAGAATTTTATAGGAATTGCTGTAATTTTGCAGAAAAAAAAAGATAAAAAGCTTAAGAGGGAAAAGAGCAAATAGGAAGATAAATAATTTCTAATAGTGACATTTAACGTGTTTATTTAAAGCTGCAGAAGCTTTTTGTCGCGAAACCTATTTTGAATTTATTATTAAATGTATATAAATAAAAGAAAATTTTATAGACATTACCGCAATTTTTCAAAGAAAGGGAGAAGCAAATAGGGAGATGATAATTACTGATAATTGTGATGTTTCACGTGTTTTAAAGCCACAGAAGCATCTTGTCACGCAATTCCACTTAGAAATTTATTATTGATTATATATATGTATATATATATATATATATATATATATATAGAAGAAGTTTTTAGGAGAACTTTATAGACACCATAATTTTTCAAGGGAAGCAAGGCACTTATAAATTTATTCTTAAAAATATATAATTAAAAGAATTTTTGAGAAGAATTTTATAGCCATTGTGATAATTTTGGAAGAGGAAAGCAAGGCAAAAAACTGGTCGATAGTTGTGACGTTTCACGTGTTTATTTGAAACTGATACAGAAGCGACCCGCGTCGCGAAACCCACTTTCGAGAGGACTGACTCCGGACCGTTTCCGGCCGTTCTTTGCCTCTCGGCCCTTTTCAGGCGTCGCCGCCTTCAGGCTCGTGTCACGAGAAGTCAGTCGCACGCTATTGCAATTTAGCGTGAAGTCCAACGCCGCACCTGCGGTGACGGTGCAGCGAGAGGAAGAAGAAGAAGAAGCGTCGTGCTTCACCGAGTCCTTCCTCGCGTTCGACGGACCTTGAAGATCCTTCTTGTCATTCCGTGTCCTCCCTGCCTCCTCTTCCTCCTTCTCCTCTTCCTCCGTTCCGTGACGACACTTCATCGCGATCCGAATCGTGTGAGTCACTTCCGGATCTCCGCTCGCGAGCTCCGCCGATCTTCCGAGATCCTGGGGTACCTCGGAGCATATGCAATCCTCGCCGGCCTCCTGCCGGCTCGGTCCTGAAATTTGATATTGCCACCGGAGAATTTCGTGGTCCACGTGGAGAGTCCCCGAGAAACTCGGTCGGCGAGAAAATTTCGATAGGTCTCGCGAGAGAGACCGGCCTCGAGCGATTTCAAGGTCCGTTTGCGACGATTTCATATACGCGCCCTTGAAATCCGATCTCGATCTTTGAATGGAATCTTCCGTCTTTAGAGAAGCGAGCTACTCCGAAAGATGTTATTCGGGGCGAGCGAGGATGAATATAAGATAACGTCTTGTCATCGATGAAAGATCGGTGATTAAATGTAGATAACACGGAGATATCAATTTTACAGATAACTGAATAAGAAACTAAGTCGGAACTCTCTTTCTAAACGTTTTTCTCTTAGAATTTTTTATTCTGAAAATCATGGTAATCGTGGGTATTTTTTATTGCAGTAAATATTAATCAGAGAAACTTATAAAATTCTCTCTGTGTACAATTGTATAATTATTATAATTATTTTTATTTATTACATATATATTAAATATATAAATTAGGTTTGATTAATTTTACTATGTATATATTAATATTTTTATTGTGGTAAATATTTCAGAGAAATTCATAGAATGCTTTCAATACCATATTGTCCCACAATTATCATAATTTGTAGGATAAATTCTAAGCAAAACTTCTCTCAGCATATATTATATAATAAAATAAGTAAAGTGAGAACAGAGGGTTCAAATATCTATAGCTAGAAAAATGCGACCCTTCTTTTCCTCCAATAAGTTTCCTTTAACTTAACGCAGGGTTAATTATATGGAATATTACATGTACATTCTATACATTTTTTCTCGGCTTTTTCAAGGAATACGAGCTCGTCCTTTTCTCACCTAAACTTTAATGGAGCCACAACTCTACAACTATTTCTACACCATATCTGATTCTTTTATCTTGTGCAGAGAATAGTATATTGTGTATCAAGTGCGGAAAGTTGACAATTGGTCACGAGTGCGACCACCCTACACGAGTGAACAATTGTCAATCTACACGTGATACAGATACTATTTTGTATTACAAGTGCAGGTAAAGTAACTTTGTGCACGTTTCGTGCGCGAGGTGGCCGATCGCACGTCGCCATCTTGCGGCGGCACGGTGCGGGAATAGCCGTGTTCAAAGTCATTGTCCACGGCTGAAGCCGTGGGCAATGACTTTGAACGCGGCTCAGCCGTAGGCAATGGCTTTGAACGCGGCTTATTCACTCACTGCGTCGTCCCTAGATGGCGGCGTGGGAAATCGGCCGCTTTCCGCACAGAAAACACGCACACAAAGTGCCACTTTGCCTGCACGTGTAATACAAAAAAAATATATATGTATACATATAATCAAACCTTCAATAATGTTTTTCGTGCATTCCTCGAGGGTGGCCAGCGTTTTCGTACATTCCAGAGATCCGCCGTCCTTTTTGTTATCCCGCCGACTTTTCCGGAACACATTGTTCTTTCCGGCGCGACTTTCCTTTTCCCTGTTCTTGCCAGCCTCTGTAACCTTCTTCAGGAACTCATCTAAAATGTCATCCTTGTCGTTCGCGACTTCATCAAGGTCGTTGCGTCTCCAACGCGCGTTTGCTTGAGATTCTATCAAGGGAATCGGCGATTCCGGAAGCTCCAAGGATACTATTGTTAAGAAAGCCGGACTCTCCTTTCGGATTTTCTCCAGCCACGATCTATAGCTAGATATTAATCAAAAATACACACATGTCGAATGGTATATCAAGAAGAAGTTGAAGTCAATTTATTTATAAGTAAACATTATTTTAAAAACTTATTAATAATTATAAAAAAATTATTGGACCGTGTCTTTTAATTCTACGCGCGTTAATAATAATTTCGTTATATACACTTTTATGAAAATAAATATATTTTCTATATTTGAAAAACATTTTTAGCTTTCTTTATGCGAATTTGAATGAAAAATGTTGCAAGATTGTAAAGTTTTTGACACGACAAAGAAATAGAGAAAAATGGCGAGCCGTCCCTTGAGCCGCAGGATTCGCGACAAAGTTAGGAACACTTTTCGTCCCCTTTATTTTGCAATGATCGGTTCATGATGATTGTACGTGAACGGCGCAAAAAAAGCTCGTAATGACAACTGAAAAGGTTATTCGCCTTTCTCAACTTGAGACAACTGGATAACTAGATGTGATTGCGGGACCCTGGAGGGCATCGCGCTTCAAAGAGAAAACGCCGAGAAGGAGGAGGGAACCCAGAGAAAAAGAGAGAGAGAGGAGACCTCGATAAAAAGTACGAGCAAAAGTGATATACGAAGAGAAGGAATCAGTTATCTTGTTTAAAAACAGGATGAAAGGAAAAAAACTTGTAGCATGAAAAAAAGAATAAGATGAGCAATAAGTTATTCGACGATAAAATATTTGAATATAACTTTTGTGCCAGGAACGAAGGAAAAAAAGAAAGAGAGAGAAAGGAGCTGAAAATGGAAAAAGAAATTCTATAAGAAGAATGAATTGGAATAAAGTTCTTGAATTGGGATGTAAGATCGAAAGTGAAAAGTGAAAGAAAACTTGACAGTAAAGTAAAAGCCGAAGAACGAAGGGAAAAAGAAATACGACGGAAGAATCTGCTGAGAAGAAAAGATTCGAAACACGTAAATGTAAATGATGGAAAACACGCGGGGTGGGGAGTAAAGGGGGATGAAAAGGAACGGCGAAAAAATACACGTGAGAGAGTACACGAGGAAGAAGTGTCGAGAGAGCACATTCAAGAAGAAGGAGAGATAGTGAGCCTTGAACTTCGAAAACGAAGGCGCAGGAACAGGCCGAAGAAAAAGATTAAAAGGGAGGCAAAGCGGAGAGAACTGGTTGAAAGAAAGGAGGTCTCGAGAAGATTACGACCTTGAACCGCAAGCTGAACGAGAAGAGAGGATGAAAAAATATAGCGAGAGTAAAAAGACGAGCGCTTCTCGCGCGATATGGAGAACGAAGAAAGACGCGGGAAGAAAGAGAGAGAGAGAGAGAGAGAGGGGAAAAATAATACCCTGGACACACTCTGGAAATAATCATGATGGGAGATGATTCGGTAAATTTATCAATCCGCCGCGCATTTACATTCCTTTCGGAAAGATAAATATTGTAAGTATAAATAAAGCCTACAATAAAAGTATAATTTAGTAGCGTGTTTACGAGAGATTACATTAAGGATAAATTAAAATCAAGTCAGTGCGCGAATGTTTAGGAAGATATATACACTGAATTATTTGAATAAATATTTATTTGACTAACAAATTAGTTATTTGAAATTAATAATATTGATTTGATGTGAAAAGTATTTATTTGACATAAGAAAATCCTTTTCAAAACAGATCAATATTTATTTGTTTTAAATAAATCATGTATTAGGCGGTATTGAAATAAATATTAAGGGAATGCTGTCGTTGTTCTGTTTTACCGATTTTAAGTTAGGTTAGGTTCACTTTTTATTGAATATACAGATTGAAAAATTCTTTACAATGAAAGTACTATTCTTATGTATTAATCTTTCATGTCATCTCTATTGGGAGCGCCATATTTTGTGCACAAATAAACCGCAGAACTTTTGTATTAAATAACTATTGTTATGAGCTGATGCAAGAAGTCGATAAAAAAACTGTAATTTTTTAATTATGAAGAAGAATCTTTTTCAATTTATATAGCCAATAAAAAGAAAAGCCCTTGAACTCAAAGTCGGTAAAACAGTCCTGTTCAGCATCTCCTTAATTCATGAAATAATTTTTTTAATGCATAAACAAGAATTTAAAAAAGCAGGAAAATATAAAGAATGACACGCAATATTCGAAGTAATAACAACAGAGTTCTCGTGTTTTATATGTATTACAATTACTACAGGAAAACAAGGGATGACTTTTGCACAAAAAAAGAAGCAGAGACTCAAACATAAGATTTGCTCGACAGGAAACGAGAGCACGTATAATATAATAACCTCGTTCAGATATCTCGGAGGTCAGATTCACCCTAAAGTTATACGAGGCTGGAAGAGAACGAAGTCGAAGAACTAATGAGAGAAGAGGGAGAAAGTGTGAGATCAAATGTCGATGATAATGACCGATGCTGCTCGTTTTAATGCGCGAGCAGCTTTAATAACTTTACACACAGAGTATCGGGGCTGCGCGCTTAGCTACCCACGAGGCTTTTTCATTAAGTCGCAGTGAGACGACCGTAAAATTTTAGTATGTTTAATTACGGGGGTCCTATATAGGGCGACGTGAGACGCCTCGCTAGAGATGGGACCGTCCTGTGGGATGGTGTTGCTCGTTCTCTTTAGCGCAAGCACGTTAATACATACACGCGGTACGATGTTAATCATTCAATAAGCAGACCCCCGGGATGATTAGTTAACCCTTCCCTTTGAGGTTTAACGTCCCCGACCGAAGCTGGTTTTGCTCGCTCGAGCAGAGCGATAAGAAAATACACATTGGTAGAGGCGAGGGTGACTTTCTTCCTAGAAAAAAAAATACAACGAAAGGAAAAAAAGAATCGCGTAAACAGCGATAGCGCGATGAAGCGAGAAAACGACGTGTTAAAAATATTCCAAATATAGAATATGGATCCCACGGAAATTCCTCCGCGAAACCAGTTTCTCGACCAATTTAATTGCCGGTCCGTATCGCAAGGAGATCTCTCGGAGAAGGCGAACGAGAGGGTGGGAGAAAAAAGAAGGGAGAAATATCCAACTTGTCAATCATCGTCATCGCGCTACTGTCAGGTTCGTTTGATGCGGGACATCTTCTCCTCGAGGTTTTAGGGTTTCTATTGATCGAGCGTCCTACCTTGAAGAACCTCGCGCCGAGCGCGCGTAGCCGCTACGCGGATGACAGATATGGCGCGCCGGGGACTGCGACCTTGAACCGTACGGTTCCCTCCTTCTCGGGTCCTCGAGCGTCAGGCGCCGAATGTAGAGTCCCGGCACCTCCTCCGCAACGTGATGTCTTCTCCTGTACGAAGCCACAGTGACTAGCCCGGTCGATTCTCACCATCGATCATCCCTCTTCTTTTTTACCGCGAGAGAGAGCCTGAACAACGAGAGAGGAGCCGAACTTGAATTCCAGACGTGCGACCTTGAACCGCGGGGCGCGCGGTTCTCCTCGTTCCTTTTTCGAGCTGCGGCGGGCTTCGCGTTGTGGCGTCTTCATCGGACGAGTCTGATCCTGCGTCGTTTCCCTCGTTCCTTGTCACTGCCGTTTCCTTTTCCTGAGGGACAGAATCGGAAAATTCGTCGATTGGGGTTGAATTCGAGAGCAATTCGCGCGTTAAATGGTGATCTTCTACCGATTAAAGGGATAAGCGTAACATAGCTTCTCGAGAGATCTGTAATTAATGTGATAAAATCTAGCAGACAGAGTTGAAATATAATTTGTCGAACACAAGACAAGTGTCATATTGATTTTTAGTGATACTTATACACAGTGTGTTTGCTGTTATCTAAATAAAATTATATAGATGATCATCTAGATGAAACTTTGGCATCGTCTTATCTTTATATAGATGATAAAAATATGTATTTTCTACATCCGCATCTTAGATAAAAAAAAGTGTTATTTTTACTAAATTAAGATAATGAATGATGTTCGGATAATTTAATTTAGGGTCGCGTATAAAAATATTTAAGCAGTAGAACTTAAACAGTAAACGATAAAAATTTATAAATAAAAATATGCATACATATATTTTTATATTCTTTTTATAATTTACATTTTTTTTAATAACTGTGTTTACATAAACGATCTTAAAAATTATTACTTAAAAAAGTATCTAGATGAATTACCATATAATAATTTCATCTTTTATCTAGATATATTTAAAATAATCATCTTCATCTTACCTTAGATGAATTTACAAATTTTTATTTCATCTTTATCTAGCTAATTATAAAATCATGTAAGCATAACACTTCTTATGCAAGATTTATCATACACTGAAAAAAAATTTATTGATTTTGAATAAATATTTATTTCAATACTGTTTAACAAATCATTTATTTGAAACTAATAATATTAATTTGATGTGAAAATATTTATTTGATACATTTTAAATGGATCAAAAGGATCCTTTTAATTTAAGAGAAACATTCTCTAAAGAAATATTCTTTAATTAGATATTTGTAACATGCAAGAATATGAACTTAATGAGATGTTATCAGTATATTATTTGAAATATTATTTATTGTAATAACAAAAAACTGTTTTATAAATAGACATTTGTTATTTTTGCATACAGTACTCTTCACAAGTTTGGAAACACTATATTTTACAGTTAAACGATCGCATGGCAGCGTTCTGTCATTTATAGTATATTGTGTATCAAGTGCGGAAAGTTGACAATTGGTCACGAGTGCGGGGGATGGACGCACGAGCCAAACGCGAGTGCGACCACCCCACACGAGTGAACAATTGTCAATCCGCACTTGATACACACAATATTTTGTATTACAAGTGCAGGCAAAGTGGCTTTGTGCGCGTTTTCTGTGCGGAAAGCGGCCGATTTCCCACGCCGCCATCTAGCAACGGCACGGTGCGGGAATATGCTTTGCCCACGGCTTCAGCCGTGGACAATGACTTTGAACACGGCTATTCCCGCATCGTGCCGCCGCTAGATGGCGGCGTGGGAAATCGGCCGCTTTCCGCACAGAAAACGCGTACAAAGCCACTTTGCCTGCACTTGTAATACAAAATAGTATGTGTATCACTCGCCTTCGGCTCGTGCGTCCATCCTCCGCACTCGTGACCAATTGTCAACTTTCCGCACTTGATATACAATATACTATTACGATTTATTGATACAAAAAATCTATACAGATCTGCCATACGATTGTTCAACTGTAAAATGTAAGGTGTTTCCAAACTTCTGGAGGATATTGTATATGTAAAAGAAAATTAATGAGAAAGAACGGAAGAGGAAAGCACGTGTAAGTCTGTAAGGGAGATGTGGGGGAGTTATCCATCGCTCTCTCTCTCTCTCTTTCTCTTTGTGATCCAGTCGGTCAGTCGAGGCCCCGCGGCAAGTAGCTGACAGTCGTGTGAGCGAAAACTAATCTATTCCACACCTCGGTTACGTTGCCGGGGCCGCGGGAATTAAAATTCAAAATAGCCTGCTAAACAACGCCTTAATGCTGTCCGGTTCTTTTAATGCGGCCCCTCGATCCAGTCTGAGGGAGACGCCGCATCACCACCCCATCTCCCCTATCTCTTCGACCGACACGTCGGACCACCCGCTAATCCAAAACGACCCGGAATCGCACGGCACAAATCTCACGAGATACGATTGACGGACGTGAATAATCAATTGATTCGAGGCCGCTTTCGGTAGCGAGAAAAATCGCTCGAAGACTCACTCGATGCAACAGCCAAACTATAATTATTCCATTAATTATATGTATGTATGTATGTGTTATACGCTGCTTTATATATGTATATAATACACTGAGAGATTGAATAATTATAATAATTTTATATAATAATTGTAATAATTATTTTATATAATAATTATTATAATTAATTTTTAATATAACAATTATTATAATAAATATTTTATATAATAATTATAATAATTATAATAATTTTTAATAAAAATAATATTTTTATTTAAGTATATCAATTTTAATCGAGTACGTTGATTAAATTTAATTATATGTATGTAATAATAAATTATATTTTTAAATTAATTGTAATAAATTAATTTAATAATTAATTATATTATTTTATGTAGATGTAACACATATCACATTATATTATATATATAATATTTTCATTGTTATATAATTCTCCCAAAAAATCTCAGAGGAAGGCTTTAGAAGTGCAAAAACTTTTGACGTAAGCCAATTTAGCCAATCAAACTATAAACTTTTCGTGAGTAAAATGATTAAACGGATCAAGTTTACATCAACTCTGATAAAATACAGCCTTTAACTGCCGAGAAATATAAGCACGTTTGTGTTTAGGAAATTCTCTCATTATATACCCTCTCTTCTTCTTATACTTTTATATTAAAAAAAAAGAAAAAAATTTTAAATATTTTTTATTACGTATAGTTAATTATCAATAATTTTTTGCAATGTGAGACACACTTTGGATAAGGAAACGTCGTAGAAAAATTTACGAGAGACGCGCGAACGGGATCGTAATTCCGCGAGAAAATGTCACCGTAGCAATCACGTGTCTAATCGAACAAAATAATCGGGTCCGTGTGTAACTCGATCCTCACGGAATCTGTGAGGATTCCGTCTCCGCCATGCTCGATTAGCGCGACGAATCGATAATGAGCGCGTTTCAATTTTAATAGTCGTCACAAATCTGTTATCCGGTCGCGTTGAATTAAAAAAGGGGGCGCAATTTTTTCTCGATAATCCGAAGCATAAAAAAAAAAAATAGTCCGAATTCTCGAATGCGAAATTAAATTATGCCGCTCGGACACGTGTCGTGAATTTAAATTTAAATTCAATTCTCTTGTTATATATAGCCCCCTCTTTCTCCCTCTATTTTTTGATCGTATATTTTTGCGATCGTTAAAATTTATTTAAGTCTCGCGAGGTCGAAAAATCGCCGAAATTCGCGGGCGGAAATAAAATAAGAAAAAATAAAAAACCGGCCCCCGGGTGGCATTTATGTAGAAATGAATAGAACGAGTCTCTCTTTCCAGTTGAGAAATCTGAAACAATCTTCTCGGGGACAGACATTTCGTCGCCATTAATTCTTCAAGAAAAAAAAGAGAAACGGAGATTTCTATTTCGCGGTTTTGAAAAAAAAAAAAAAAATGTAATCATCTAACGCAGTGTCATATCCTTCCTTATATTAACGTCGAGCTTTTATACCGGGATTCAATCGTGGGTGGAATCTAAATACCAGAAACCAGGCACGTAATAAGATACAAAGACGCGCGCGGGAGAAGAAATAAAGAAGAAGAAAAAATGATACACACGTACACGGACACACAAAGAGAATAGAGAGAGACGCTGATTTCTTCGCGGAATATGTTTACGCTAAAAGCACGCTCGGGTGGAAAAAAAAGGATGAAAACCGCAAACTGCTTAACGAGTTCCGCGCTCCCCCGCGTTGTCTTTTCTCTCATCTACAATGCGCATATATGTGCATGAAAAGAGAGAAAGAGAAAGAACGCTTGTCTTTTTTTTTTATTTTTTTTATTTTTTTTTTTTTTTAGCAAATCTGGACCAATAAGCGCACTTTTAATTAGAAAAGATAGATCTTGAATTGGAGAGCTATAATTATTATTGTGAGAACATTAAAAAGAAATAAAATATAAGAGAAGCAACTTTCAGGACGGGAAAAAATATTAAATTAGTTGGTTTATTAGAAGTATATACATTTCATCATCACTTGAGAGAAATTAATTTGTATTGAGAAAAAAGTTTTGAAGATTTTGAATTTTTTCTTATATAGTCTTCTTTGACAGATTATATAGCTTGAATACTTGATTTCTTTCATTTTGTTTTTATTTTCTATATAATGATCTTTTTCCTGTATATGTTTAGTAGATATGTCAAATTTGAAGATAATTTTTCTTTCAAGGAAAGGCCATAAGGATTTGAACGATATTGTCTAAATTATGAGAAACAATTTCTCTCTAACAAGTGTCTCTGAACGTAAATCTTTGTTTTAAACTTTCAGTTTAAATTTAAAAACTAAACAGTACATCAATTTTTTAGATAGTATCTCTCTTTTCTCTATAATTTATTTTATAATCAAAAACTCAACTAAAAAAACATAAAGAAGCTTATAATTACATTGCTAAGATAATTATAATAATTGAAGAATACAGGAGAATATTCTATATATAATATATATATATATGCTTTTTATATTTTATCGTAATATTAATTTAGACATAAAAAAAAAATTTTTTTTAAACGAAAATTCAACATATTCGCATTAAAAAAAAACATTACAGAAACATATAATAAATATTGTGATATAAGAGAAACAGAATTAGAAATGGAATAAATTTGTAAAACTCTCCAAGAGGAAGTATGGTAGAATGATATTAAAAGGGAGAGAAAAATATTTCGCTGTCTTAGATTATAACGTTATTACGAGCGAACTTTTGCGCGGTACTGTATTTCGGGGTATCTCGCGAGGGTATCTCGCTACATCCGCGATCCCACGACGACCTGGACCCTGGACACGCACCAACACGCTGTACGAGAGCAGTCGTGTACGACCCCCGGGCGAATTTTAATTTTCACGAGCACGGGCGCCCGTGTATTGTCATTAGACGGTCCGGGGATGGGACGAGAATGAGAGAGAGAGACGAG